CCGTAGCTCCAGACCCTAGGCCCCAGGCCGCAGCCCGAAACTCCAAACCCTAAACCCTAATTTAGGGTTTGACTCTCTGCGGTTCTCTGCAGGCTAGCGGCAATAGCTGGGGCCGGCAAGTATTATAAACCCCCGCCTAAAGAAACCTCTCTGCCTCCAGAAAAAGAAAAAGAAGAAAAACCGCCAACACCTGAAGAAGATGAGTAAGCAGGGTTTAGGGTTTAGGGTTTAGGGTTTAGGGTTTAGGGTTTAGGGTTTAGGGTTTAGGGTCTTCGACTTGTGCCGGCTGGATTTATTTGAAGTGTGTATTAGCATTTATTTATTTGTGAAATGAGTTAATTAAATAGAACTATTTATTTATTCAATAATTTGAAATCTTGCATTCTTTTTTCTAATTTTTTGTGTAATTTGTTTCATTTTTATTCCTTTTTTTTCCTTTTTTTCTCTTTTTGCATCTTTTAATCTCCTCTTTCCGTCTAAATGCCTTTCTCCGTTTTAATTGCGTCAAATGCTTTTGTTTTATTTATTTATTTCGATTAGAGTTTTCGTAATTCGAGACGGGTACTTAATGCTCTTCGAAAAGGCCGGAGACCCGCAGCCAATTTTGCGGCTGCACAACGGGGACTGCGTGACGCATGCAGACGCAGCGAATCGGGAGTTTGTGATAACTCACAAAGTGAGTTTTTTGCTTTTTGCTGCTGCTGACGGCCCCTTTTGCTGCTCCTCCGCGCCCTTTTGCTGCTGCTGCTGCTGCGCTGCTGCTCCCCTTTCGTTTTGCTGCCAAACGGCGCTTTTCCGCCCTTTCTGGAGCTGTATGTACACCCCAACTCGCTGCTGATGCTGCTGCTGTTGCTGCTGTGTGGGGCCGCAGCTGTACGTACACCGCATTTGCTGCTGCTCCTTCTGCTTTTATTCATTTCCAAAATGCGCATTTAATTTTTTATTCATTTCGCTTTATAATGGTCTGCTTAATGTGAAGTTTCGCGTAAAATAAATGAATAAAACAATAAATAAATCCCAACTGCTGCTGCTGCTGCTGCTGCTGCCGCTTGCTGCTGCTTGGGGGCTTGAAACTGTGCTTCGAAATGGCCTTTTTCAAAGTGGAGTTGCATGCGGAGTTCTTTTCTGAAAAGTTTATTTTCTAGTTGGAAATAAATCTGAATTTGAAAGTCGGGGCTAGCCGCTGGGGTGTACGGACAGATCTCGAGTGAGTGGCGCAATGGATAGCGCGTCGCCCTCCGGAGGCGGAGGTTGCGGGTTCGAGTCCCGTCTCGCTCTCTTCTTTTCGTCTTTTTTTCCTTTTCTTTTTCTTTTTTTTAATTTTAAATGCCACTAAATGCAGTGTAAATGCAATTAGGAGCCTATAGGTCTTCAAACGGAGCGAAACGGCGCTGGTTTGGCGCTGAAACGCCCGGGAAACTCTGCGGGCGTGCTAGGGCGCCGGCCGGGGCTGGAATTCCGGTTTTTAGGGTTTTATTTGATTTAATTCACGGGGAATGCGTTTTCAATGAATAATGTCGGCGAAAAATGAACAAATTTGCGGTTTTTGTGGCGGTTTTGCGTGGCTCTCTGTTGCCGCTCTGCGGTGTATCGACGACACCTGTGTGTGCAGCCCAACACCCCCGAAGAAGAAACTTACGTCTTTTCGTTTCCGACGGATGAAATATACCAAGGGCGAGTCTCTAGAGCTGAAAACAACAAATAAAACAGTTTTAATTTAATAAATAATTCAAAAATTATAAAAGGCGTTCAAAGACCAGCTCATTGGCTCCTGGTGTCTGTACACCCGGTGCAGCGGCTCGCGAGGGGAGCCGCATTTTGCTCTTAAATTGGGAAATAAAGGGTTTAAATTGTCAAATAAAGGGTTTAAATTGGCAAATAAACATTTTAAATTGAATTTATTTAATTGTTTTTGCTTTTATTTGCAGTTGGTACAAAAAACTGGAAGAAAATGGATTTCTTCGCCGCAAAGTTGACCAGCGGGGCACCAAGGCGAACCAGTGAGGCAATTGGGAGAAATATACGAAATGTTTGGCCCAAAAATGATAATTTTAATTCTTTTTTTGCACTTTTTGCATTTAAATTACAATTAGAAGAGGCAAAAGTGCATTTTCAAACAGATTAATTCTTTTTCCCTTTTTTTTCAGCTTTTCTTTCTTTCCTTTGGCCATTTTTAGACTCTTTTTGTTGTCTTTAGACTCTCAATTCCACTTTAGACCTTTTTGGTTTCTTTTTGTCTATTTAGATCTCTTTAATCCTTTTAAATCTCTTTTGGTTTTTGATTATTTTCATTTTTCTTTTTTCTTTTTTTCCAACTTCTTTTCCCTTCTTTTATTTTTCCCTTTCGTCTCTACTTTTTAATTTCTTTTAATCTGTTTTTGGTCTTTTTAAAATTCCTTTTTGATCTCTTTTTATTTTTTTTTGTTTTTCTTTATTTCTGTTCTTTTATTTTTTAATTCTTTAAATCATTTCTTTTGATTCCTTTCAATTTTTCGTAATTTTCTTTTCAATTTTTTAAATTCTTTTTTGTTAACTGTTTTTAAATTCCTTTTTCATATCTTTTTTTAATTCCTTTTAAAATCTTTTTTAACTCTTTTAAGATTCTTTTCAAATTCTTTTTTTAACTCTTCTAAAATTCATTTAAATTCCTTTTAAACCTTTTTAAATTCTTTTTAAACTCTTTTTAAGTCTTTTTTTAATTCTTTTTAAACTCGTTTCAAGTCTTTTTTTAATTCTTCTTTTAAATTCTTTTGAATTCTTTTTTTAATTCGTTTTTAAATTCTTTTTAAATTTTAATTTTTTTAAAATTAAAATTAATTTAAAATTCTTTTTAAATTTTGAATCTCTTTTTTACAGTGTCCCGTGCTTCAAGGGGCAAAAAGCTGAAAAGGTGGTTTTTGTGACAACTTTACCATTTTGGGGTCTTTTTTGGAGCTTTTTTGTGCATTTTTATCTCACGGGAGAGCGCGCGTTGAATAGCGCGTTTGCGGGGCCTCAGCTGTTCGTTTTTGCGTCTTTTTTAGAGTCGGAGTTGTCTCAAAAGGTTGTTTGGAGCTTTACCGCGACTACGGCTCTCCGGGCGCGAAGCCGGTCATTTCGCTGCTCGCCAGCCGCTGCACCGCCACCGCCAGCCGCGAGCGCCGCGAAATCCGAATTCTCCATTCCGTAACTCTTTTTCGCTTCTTTTTCCTCCTTTTTCTCCCTTTTTTGCGCAACTGGCGACTCCTCCTTCTCCCCTCTTCAACTCTCTTCTTTCCAGCTTTTTCCCCGCTTTTTTTGACCCATTTTGGCCCTTTTTGGACCTTTTTGGACGCTTTTGGAGTTTTGGGAATTGTTTTTTCCTCTTTTGAAATTCTTTTTTTCTTTTTTTGAAATGCTTTTTTTCGGCTTTTTAAGTTTTTTTTATTTCCTTTTTGAAATTCTTTTATTCCCTTTTTGAAATTCTTTTATTCTTTTTTTGCAGTTCTTTTTGTTCTCTTTTTGAAGTTCTTTTATTCTTTTTTTGAAGTTCTTTTATTCTCTTTTTGAAGTTTTTTTCATTCTCTTTTTGAAGGTCCTTTATTCTCCTTTTGGAGTTCTTTTTATTCTTTTTTTTAAGTTCTTTTATTCTCTCTTTGAAGTTCTTTTACATCTTCATATAATTGTCTTTTATTATTTTTATAATTCTTTAATTTTTTCAATTAACTTTTTTGGAATTTTCTCTTTTTCTTTATTGCATTTTTTGGCTTTTTTGCGTTTCCCTCCTTCTGTTCTTTTTCTTTACTTCATTTTCCTTTTTTATTTTCTTTTTTATTTTCTTTTTTTAATTTCCTTTTTTAATTTTATTTTTATTTCCTTTTTGTTCTTTCTTTGGCTCCTTCATTTCTACTTCTTTTTGCCTTATTGTTCATCATCTTTCTTTCTCACCTATGTATATTTATCTGTTTTTCTTTGTTATTTAATTATATTTATTTATTAATTTATTTATTTATCATTTCTTCATTATTTGCTTTTTATTATTCTTATTTAGTAAGAGAAAATAAAAAAATAAAAAACTGCTGTCTCCTTTTGCCCAGAGCCCTTCGGGCAAAAGAGAGAGAATAACATTAGACTGCGCAAGTCTGGCTGAGTTCGACAGGTAACCCTAAACCCTAAACCCTAAACCCTAAAACCTAAACCCTAAACCCTAAGGTGTAAACCCTGAACCCTAGGCCATGGGTGCTGAAGAGCTGCGCCACGAGTGGCTCGGAAAGAGCGTTTCCACTGACACTTGCAGCCTGCGGCTTTAGGGTTTAGAGTTTAGGGTTTAGGGTTTACGGTTTAGGGTTTAGGGTTTAGGGTTTAGGGTTTGGGTTTAGGTGGAACGTGGCGCTGCACTTCGGCAACTTCCTTAAAGGCGAAGCCATTCAGGGCAACGGCTCGCAGGCCTATGCGAACTTAACCAAGTATTAAAATAAAATAAATAAATAAATAAATAAATAAACTAATTAATTAATATATTTATTTATTTATTTATTTATTTATTCATGTAGGAGTAAATCAAAACCCAAACATTGGATTAAGTTGAATTAAAATGAACTGAACTGAATTGAATTGAATTGGACTGAATTAAAATGAACTAAATCGAATTGAATTAAATTGAATTAAGTTAAAATGAATTAAATTAAATTAAATTGAATTAATTAAATTAAAATGATTTAATTTTGATGCAGATATGTCTTCCCCATAAATATGTTCGAAGACGCCTCGGGCCGGAAGTCCGCACTGCTGATTGAAAACAGAAAAATAATGCTTTTCCCAACCCCCGACGTGAGGCCTAGGGTTTAGGGTTTAGGGTTTAGGGTTTAGGGTTTAGGGCCAACGGGTTAGGGTTTGGGGTGCGAGATGTGGATTTGTTATCTAGAGCTTTGCTGCCGAGGGTTTACTGGCCCGGGCTCACTGCTCCCAGCCCAGGGTTTAGGGTTTAGGGTTTAGGGCTTAGGGTTTAGGGTTTAGGGTTTGGCGTGCAGGCATCGGACCCGATTCTCTGTTTCGACGCGAGTGAATGCGAAGTGCAGCCAGTTATAGCCCAGCGGAAACTGAGGGTTTATGTGAACGTGAGTTTGGTGGAAAAGTGGATTAATTAGTTCACTAAATTGATTAAATTGATTAAATTAATTAAATAAATAATTAATTAATTGTTATTAATGATAAAAAGGATTAAAATGCCGATTTAAAGATGCATGCAGCGCCAAATAGTGCAGATTGAGTGGCAGCGCTTTGGGGTGTATAGGCAGGTGGGGTGTATAGGCAGCTGGGGTGTATAGACAGCTGGGGTGTGTGGAGCAGTAACTTCCTGATTAAATATTAACAAATAAATAAATAAATAAACAAATAAATGCAAATTAATAACTCTTTTTTAATGTTCAACTGCGAATACTCTGCGGCGGATTGTGCCTTTAAAGAAACAAAGCAAAACGCAAAGGGTTTAGCGTATAGGGTTTAGAACTTGTGAGGGTTTAGGGTTTAGGAATTAGGGTTTAGGGTTTAGGGTTTGCGTGAGGCTGTTGCTGCAGAGGAACACAAAACAGGAACAGCGCATTGACTTCATCCTGCCCCTCGCAAAGGACTTGGACAGGTGGAGATAAACCCTAAACCCTAAACCCTAAACAAGGGTTTGGCGTTTCTCATAAAAATGAAGCACCGCGCCGTTTCTTGCTGTGGCGTTTTCCTCGTTTCTTAAGGCGTTTCGTCTCTTGTTTGGCTTCAATTGCTTTATTTTATTTTTCATGAATTATTGTTTTTAATTAAATTCAAAATTAATATAAATAAACAAATAAATAAATAAATAAACTGCTGCTTCTGCTTCTCGCAGATATGCTGCTGCCTGCCAAAGAGACGGCTTTCCAGAAGCCATCGTCGGAAAGCCGGTGGAGAGACTTTCCATCCCGTGCGCCTCTAGGGTTTAGGGTTTAGGGTTTAGGGTTTAGGGTTTGGGGTTTGGGGTTTGGGTTCTAGGGTATAGGTTATAGGGTGTAGGGTTTAGAGTTAGGGTTTAGGGTTTGAGGGCTTTGGGTGTATGGTTTAGGGTTTGGGGTTTAGGGTTTGGGGTTTCGAATTTAGGGTTTAGGGTTTGGGGTTTAGGGTTTGGGAGAATAGGGTTTAGGGTTAAGAGTTGGTTTGGGGTTTTGTGCTGCATGCGCCAGGTTCGTCTTGTGCAGAAAAGGACTTCTGGCGGTTTACAAAAGCAAGTTTGTGAGTCTTGCCCTGGGGACAAAGCTAGGGTTTAGGGTTTAGGGTTTAGAGTTTAAGGTTTAGGGACGAAGGGGATAACCCTTATTTAGGGTTTTTGGCTGCTTCTGAAGAAGGATGGAAGCAGCTCTCTAGCTTTCACTGCTTCGCCTCTCTAGGGCCCCAGGCCTAGGGTTTAGGGTTTAGGGTTTAGGGTCTAGGGTTTAGGGTTTAGGGTTTAGGGTTTGTGTGCAGCACGCGCACGCGGAGTTGACTCTGGAGGTTTCGAAGTACTCTTTTTCGACAGAAGGGTTTACTTACGTCTTCACGAGCACAGAAGGAAAAGTAAAATTAAATTCTAAAACTAAAAATAAATCTTTTTAAAATTAACTTTTATTTTATTCAATAAGTTTTGTTTTTATTTTAAATACTATTATTACTTTTGTTCCTGTAATTGTATTTATATTTATGTTTATGTTTGTCTTTATTTTTGCGCTTGTATTTTACTTAAGTTTTTGTTTATAAGTGTACTCACAGTTGCATTTGTATTTAAATTGTATTTATATTTTTATTAAATTATTTTTTTTAAATTTAAATTATAATTGTGTTTGTATTTAAATTACATTTAAATCTCTATTTAAATCATATTTATATTTTCATTTATATTGTACTTAAATCTATATTCGAGTTACATTTATATTCATATTTATGTTCATATTTATATTTATACTTATATATATATTATATTCATATTTATCTTTATATTTATATTATATTTATATTGCGAATTATATTCCAAATAAACTTACTTTTAAATAAATCTAAAATAAACTTTATTTGTTGCGTCTGGTGTACGTACACCCCAACCTAAAACAAGTGCAGTTTTATGAACAACACATTTAATGCATTTAATTTCTTTTTGTGCAGAATAAATAAATTGATTTCAATTTATTTGCTTTTGATAAATTAATTAAATGTTTTTTTCTTCTTCAGGATCCCCCAAGAAAAGCCACTGTTACTTCACCCGATTCGCGCGAAAGGTAATGCATGCATGCACTGCATGCATGCATGCATGCATGCATGCATGCATGCATGCATGCATGCATGCGTTGCATGCACTGCATGAGTTTCATGCATGCAGTCTTTGGGGCTTTTAGGGTTTGCATGCGCGTGGGCTTTGGGGCTTTCTTGGTGGCTAGGCGCATGCGTGCGGCGTTTGGGGCTGTTCTATGAATGCATACGCCCTGCATGCATGCATGCATGCATGCATGCATGCATGCATGCATGCATGCATGCATGCATGCATGCATG